CTAGTTGCCGATGGTTTTCTCATTCCGGATTGTGAATTGTCGATTGTCGATTGCCATGTCTGTCACAAGTGGCAACAAACCTGAGTTTCTATCAACTGATGGTGGGCACCAACATCAATAGCCGGCCAACATGGTCCATCACGGTCCATCCAATTGCAAAATGTAGGTGCTCAATTTTGATTCCAGACCCTCAACCTTGGACGACTCACAAGTTCTTCAGAACTGAGGTGTGTGCATGAAGAGCGAGAATACCAACCTCAAGTTTGGCACCGGTGGAAAGTAAAGCAACATATACAAATTAAAAGATCGGGCAAAGACAGAACAAATATGGTAAATAATTTAATAATCAAAAAAAGATGGCGAACTTCGAGCCAAGTGGTTCTTATTCTTCTTGGTTCCCCCATGTTTCCGTGTTTCTCCCCTGCAAAGGAATAATTGAATAATGATATGAAGGAGAGAAAGAGAGAGAGAGAGAGAGGAAACAGAACCTAATTATTCACAAATAGTTTTTTGATCATCCCTCCTGAGGGAACCATTGGTTTGTTTATCCGAGGACATCATGGCCCCGATGTGCATCCAAGTCGCCCCAAGTGGGGTCCCAGACCCGGCCAACCACCCAACAACAGTGGCGACCAGCTGAAGACGAAGACCTTGGAGGTGAAAGGTCCGTCCAATTGTATAGTATAAGGGGAAACCTTCATTTTTTTAGGTGAAAAATGGGGAACTTAGACATGATTGAAACATTTTGGCGGGGGCGACCAACCAAAATGAAAAAGGGCCACCCGCAAAGTACCACTCTTTGACTTGGTTTGAGCGACATTTTCCCACGGTTCCTGTGCATTTTCCCTGACATCGCTCAATGCTCGTCACAAGAGGACTTTTCAGCATCAACCAAGGGCCGAGGCAACCAAAATCAGCCAAAGGAACAAATAAGGCACCTTCAAAGGCGGCTATGATTGCTCCGAAAAGAATCACCTTCGCGCTCGGAAGCAGAGCTGCGCAGGAACAAGGGTCAAGTTCGTCAGGCACTTGGACAGCAAACGACGGGATGCCCAGGCAACGCAGAATGGAATGGCGCACCAAACAAAAACTTTCAAAAACATGTGTCCAAAATACGATCATCTCACAAAACACACAAAACAGTATGCATCATTATATGTGCAACTATGTCTATATATATATATATTTGTGTGATATTATTAATATTATATAATTATATTATATATATGTATATATATTATGTATATTATATATATATATCCATGAATATAGATCAATCATGAGTCATGAGGCCTTCAACAATGGCACTCACAGCAGTCGCCTCAATGCCTCGTCTCCAGCTGCCAGAACGGCCCGGACGGCCGGAACTGGCAGGGCTCCTCCGACCTTCTCGAGCTGCTGATGGTTGGAAATTGACACCCAAAAATGATAGTCATCCCCCAAATAGAATCAAATAGATGGAAAAGTAAATCATCATGAAATTCGGAGGTATTCGCTTTTCCATCTATTTGGGGATGACTATATATAGCTAAAATATGCTAAAATCATAGCATCATAGCATCACATAGGATAAATTAGTACATTTCGGATGGTTTATACCAATTTACAGTATATATACCAATACACAATGACCAGAAATCCTCAACAATCGCAGGTTCCTAGTTCCTAGGGCTGGTCTGTGTGACCCCATTGTCGTAGCAGCCGGGCTACTGAGCACTGGGGTGGTCCCTACGGTCGCTTCCACATGCCACTCCGGATCAGGAGGTCTGGCATCGGCCTGAGTCGATCACCAGCTGGGTGATGCCTACCTTTACAGATCATTGGATGGTCATTGGATGATAATGATTACTAGAATATACTAGAATGACTAGAATTGATTGGATGAGATGCCTCCGTTGGATGAGAAGAATTTGATCACATCAAGGATATGCCTTTTTTCACACAGCCAAGTGTGATTTGAGACTTTTGAAACCTCAAAAATCCTGCCAAATCTCGCCTGTTGTAGGATCAACAGCACGGCGCCCACGCCGCAACACAGGGCAGCCAAATCAAAGGCTGCCACCGGTCCTCCAAACACCTGCAGGGCAAGGTAGGGATCAACCAATGGTTCATTGATCCGTGGTTGACACTACAGCCACTCAGGCCACCGCTTTGCAGGCTTTCACTCCAAGACTTTCATCATGTCTCGACTTGCTCTTGAAGACGAAGCTCAAATTTCAAACCGCTAGAGATCAAACCCAGCCAAGAGACAAGGTTGAAGTCCAGATTCAGTCCCATGTGCAGATTGTATAGCCTGAGGTGAGCCAACTTTCCTGGAAAGATACTCAATCTCAGAATCGCACGTGTACCTCTTCATGTTTTATGTGCATTTGTCTCTTGGCGTAAGTCTCTCTCATGTTTTTCTGCTGCACACACAAATACACGGACAGGAATATGTATCTAAAATAAATGTGTATATGTATATATATATATATACGTATACATGTGTGTGTGTGTGTGCATGTACACGTGTGTGTACACGTGTGTGTACGCGTGTGTGTACGCGTGTGTGTACGCGTGTGTGTACGCGTGTGTGTACGCGTGTGTGTACGCGTGTGTGTACGCGTGTGTGTACGCGTGTGTGTACGCGTGTGTGTACGCGTGTGTGTACGCGTGTGTGTACGCGTGTGTGTCCGCGTGTGTGTCCACGTGTGTGTCCGCGTGTGTGTCCACGTGTGTGTCCGCGTGTGTGTCCACGTGTGTGTCCACGTGTGTGTCCACGTGTGTGTGCACGTGTGTGTCCACGTGTGTGTGCACGTGTGTGTGCACGTGTGTGTGCACGTGTGTGTGCACGTGTGTGTGCACGTGTGTGTGCACGTGTGTGTGAGGGTGTTGCAAGATGTTGTTGTGAACGAGTGGTGCCCGATGTGTGTGTACGTGTGTGTACGTGTGGGTGAAGTGTGGGGGAAGGGTGTGTGTAAGTGTGTGGTGACCGTGTTTGTTAACGTGCGTGTTAAGTGGTGTGTACCAGTGTGGGTACGTGTGGTACACGTGTGTTTACGGTGTGTACCGTGTGTGTACGTGTGTGTGCGTGTGTGTCCGTGTGTGTGCGTGTGTGTCCGTGTGTGTGCGTGTGTGTCCGTGTGTGTGCGTGTGTGTGCGTGTGTGTGCGTGTGTGTGCGTGTGTGTGCGTGTGTGCGCGTGTGTGCGCGTGTGTGCGCGTGTGTGCGCGTGTGTGCGTGCGTGTGTGCGGGTGTGTGCGTGCGGGTGTGTGCGCGCGGGTGTGAGTGACTGCGAAAGGGTGGAGTGTGTGCGGCGGGTGTTGAGAGGGGTGTGAGAGCGTGGGTGTGCGCGGTGGGTGTGCGCGCGTGGGTGTGCGCGGGAGGTGATTTGTGTGCGCGGGGGGTTGTTGAGCGGGGTGTGTGAGCGGGTGTGTGAGGCAGGGGTAGTGACGGGCGGGTGCGCGGGCGGGTGTGCGAGAGATGGTGAGCGCGGTGTGCGCGCGAGCGTGCGACGAGTGTGTGTGAGTGATGTGTGAGTGTATGTGATTTGTGTGTGTGCGTGTGCGTGTGTGTGCGTGTTGTGTGGTGTGCGTGTGTGGGTGTGTGTGGGTGTGTGGGTGTGTGTGTGTGTGTGTGCGTATGTGTGTGTGTGTGTGTGCATTTGTAGTTGGAATACGGACAAGCAACTAGTTGAGTTTTCTGAACCCGCTGCCAAATTTGGATAAATTTGGAATGACCGCGCAATTTTTATATGCACTGAGATTGCATTCTACTCCATGAATTCTATGAGAACAGTTCCAGCAGCAAATACTCCCTCCACTCAGACTCCACTCACTATGCACTCCCAGGAGCTTTCGAGGTGCCGCACTCACTGCTGCAGCACCCACAATGCCAGAGGCGATCGCCACAAGCCAACTACCCGACCACATACCTCAGCCCCGCAAGCCATTCAAGGCCTCCAGTGACTCAACAAACTCAACAGCCTTTCAACAACATTCAATCAACAAGAACATTGCATATCTGATGACTTAACATTACTAAATATCAAAAAATGATGACCCAACTGCCTCTTTGATCTTTTTTCTCCCTGCAAACTTTGGATTGAATCAATCATTTGTTGGAGTGAAACTTGATCGGTGGAGCGCGGCCCTCCACCTTGGGCGTGGTCTGCGCCACCAGCCCGCCGTTTCTGGCCGGCGAGCCGGCCACCATGGCAGGACCAGGGGGGCCTAGGGGGGCCACATGGCCCAGTGGCAAAGGAACGACCCCAGGCATGGTGACCATGTGAGGTGCGCCAGGTGCGCTTGTGCCTGGCACTGCAGTCACCGGAAATGATGGGTTTAAAACTCTGGGGCTGAAAGCCACCGGAGACGACACCGGATTCACCGGATATGGCATGGTGATGGGGGCCATCGGTCGCGCTGGAACTGGAGCACTGGGACCTGCAACCACGCTCTTCAGAGATTCCAAGCCGACAGGGCCCAAATTTGGCGAAGTTTCCTGAGCTGAGACCAACAGGTTCCGCAAGATCTCATGAATTTACCGAGATGAGGCTTACCCGGCTTACCCCTCTCATCCCAAGGTTTCTCCACAACCCTGCACCACAACATCCAAAAAGCAAAATGACCAGCATTTGACGCGCCAAGTTGCAGCAAAAAAGGCTGCCAAGTCTGAGGATGCCTCAGCCAGTCGCTTTCTGGCCTCGCTCAGTGCAGGACTATCGTCTGGTGTGGTCCCCAGGCAGGCAGCTGAGGCATTCAGCATGCCACTGCTGAGCCGGGAGAGTGTATCAAACCTGGGGGATGGCTCGGCTGCAGTCGATGAAATTCCGGGTGCCACTCAGCTAGTGAGGCCATCATCCAGCTATCATTAGAAAACTTACCCATCACCACAGGGCGAAGCCATGCCAATTTTAACAAGTAATTGATCAAATTGACAACTTGCAAGGCGACACATAGCATAAGTTGAAGCAGTGACAGCGCAAAAGCACTTCCAGCCGTCTGTTGCCACTGGCGGTCCAAGCTGGAAGATACCCCTTCCCAGAACTCAAAAGTTCGGCATCCCAAAGCCCCAAAGCTCCCATAAACCTTGTGCTAACTGTAGCCATGCAACAAGTCAAGCACCAAGAGCAAATTGGTCTTTGACAAGTCCAGGATTCCTTTCAATGAGCTTGGCACTTCAGTTGTGCTGTTGCTCAATGGAAGACCCCCAGGGCCACCAGCCATGGCAGTGTCATTGGGGCCAGCCATGCTGGAAGGGGATCGAAACCCACTGCGCGAATGCAGGGCACTGCTCAACTCACCTGGGTGGTCGCTGGATTCCAATTGCCCCAGGCTTTCCTGGAAATGTATGAAAATCATTCTGAAAATGTGAAGTTTGATGAGTTGCACCCAGAAAATCCTAGCAATTGACTAACACCAAGCATCAACAAAAATGAAAGAAACTGACATGAAGTCATCAGCCAGGCACTCACCTGCTGACGTAGCCGCTGGTTCTCTTCTTCCAACCTGTCATTGGACCTCCTCACGTGCATGCCAAAGGGCGTGAGGGTCCCCGTTTGGTTTGGTGACATGTGTTGCATGTGTTGCACCGATCGCAAGGGAGTCCCAGCTGATACGATGCTGTCACGCAGGCTGTCGTACCGTTGCCGCAATTCCGCGAGCTCACTAGGACCTTGGGAACAAAGGGCCGCCGCGAGTTCCAAATCATTGAGATCTTGGGATAGGATCCGAAGACATGGCCTATTTAGCTCACCAGGTCTGTTGATGTATTCATGTGTGTTTGGATGGTTGGTTTTGAATCTCTAAGCACCCCTCATATGATGCAGGCTGTGAAAATGGTAAGTTCCATGGCAAAATCGAGTTCTGTCAGCCCTTTATGACCCAAAGGGAAGAAGATACGCCGAGAAAAACACACAGAATGATGCTGCTGGCCTTGCTCTGACCAAGGATGGTTGAATTCGTCCAGATCAAAGTTCTCTGGGTCTTGGCTGTGGGCCTGCCACACTTCTTGCATAATCTGCAAGCGGGAGCAAAATTTCTCAAAAGTCCAGTTGTAAAGAACTTCCACCGAGTCAGTGTCGATGCTCCCAGTGCCAGAGGAGAACTGTTCCAGCAGGATCCTGGGAGGAAAACTGAGGAAACTGAAGAAACCCTGGGAGGCGCACCCAGTGAAATTGGGATCGCCGGTCCCATAAACTACGAGGGCAAGAAATGTCACCGGATCAGAGGGGGATAACGGGAAAATAGTTCTTGACCATATAGGCACGTATACTGTATACAAACCAGTGACATCCATTCCCGGAATTCAACGTCGGGCCTTAAAAAACTGTTTGAATATTTGCTGCCTGCAGATAGTTCGGAAAATTAGCATGCGAACATCCATGCTGGGGTTGTAGCCTTTGAAGTTTCCTAGCACAAGGGAAAATACTGCATCAGTCACTTTAAAAGGATCGTGGTGGGTTTGAAGACTAAACCACCAGGGAATCATTCCCAACTTTCAATACACGAAATCAAGAGAGTTGCCCCCCTACACCCCATGTTTGTGGATAATATAAGCCGATAGCCCCATTGTATAATTGTATATTGATAAATTGTGTCTACATCTATATCTATATCTATATCTAAAGCTATTGCTATACCTATATCTATATCTATAAATATCCATCTATCTATCTGGATGCTTATCTAAATCATTCTAAATAAAATCCCTCATAGCTAGCCTTAAGAACAATCATGCAACTCATAATGACGAAAACCAGGCTAATCCTACTACTAGATGTACTGCTAACATCTGCTTACAAGAACAAGCATTTGAAATAATTAATGATATTAACCATGCTGATGGTGATGATGATGATGATGATGATGGCGATGATGAATCTGATGATGATGCTGCTGATGATGATGATGATGATGACGGTGCTGATGCTGACCATGCTGCTGCTGATGATGACAATGATGATGATGATGATGATGATGATAATGATGATCCTGATGCTGATGATGATGATGATGATGGTGATGCTGATGCTGATGATGATGATGTCGGTGCGGAAGCTGATGAAAATGACAATGATGCTGATGCTGATGATGGTGATGATGATGATGATGGTGCTGATGATGATGCTGATGATGATGATGATGTTGATCATGGTGCTGATGATGGTGATGCTATGATGATAATAATGATGGAAATGGTGATGGTGATGGTGATGGTGATGGTGATGGTGCTGGTGATGGTGCTGGTGATGGTGCTGGTGATGGTGCTGGTGATGCTGGTGATGCTGCTGGTGATGCTGGTGGTGGTGCTGCTGGTGGTGGTGCTGCTGGTGGTGGTGCTGCTGCTGCTGCTGCTGGTGGTGGTGCTGGTGCTGGTGCTGGTGCTGGTGCTGCTGCTGCTGCTGCTGCTGCTG